TTTCTTTCGATTCTAAAGTTTGTTAGTAGCGAATGCCATTTTCAGGAAATTAATGGCGAATTTTTCCAGCTTTTAGCTTCCATTTTTCAAACGTGGAGATTTCATTATTTGATTTTAGGGTACATGTCCTTTTAGAGCATTAAATTTTAAAGAAATTTTGTTCATTGAATCATAGCTCACAATTATTCAGAAGATTTTGATTTATTTACCATTTTGATTTATTTTCAGTTTGTACCGTCTTACTAACAATCCTAGGGCAGCGTAGGTATAGCAAAACAAACTGGCATTACTGAATATAAAAGCGAAAACCACAATAACATTTTGTAAACTTACCAAAATAATCGCGTGTGGGAAAAATCTCGACGATGCGAAAGTTCGCAGCTCTTTGAATGAAATTTTGAATGAAAACACCTCCTTACACAAAAATCCGTTTATTGAATCGACATAAAACGAAGAAACGTTTCTGCTTGGTTCTGTTAGAATCAGTGTTACCACCTTGATAAAATTTCTGTATATCAGATTAACAAAGAAATTAAGGATACAATCTTATTTTTCAAATAGACCCTCGTTTCTTAAATAGCCCCATTTTACGGTATGTACCTTGTGTGACAAAATGAGTTTTCTGATACGTATTATATTTGCTGTTGACATTATAATGCCTTTCAATTTATGACCCATTGTTTTTTTAGACCGAAATTCAAACAAAATATCTGTTATTTCTACAGTCGAAAGGAAAAGGACAATAAAAGCTATAATATGGTTCTATCTGTCTTTACGTATCCGTGGAGTCAATGTATCTGGACTTAATGATGTGGAAACAAAATTTATCGATTGCCGGTTAGGCTTGGTTTTGCGATTTATTTGTTTGCTTTAGACAAGTCTTGAGATGGTTTTGTAGAAAAGGTACGAGCTCTTTTATGATAAGTGGGAGGCATACGTTTATGGCATTGGATATAGAAAAAGCCATTGCGTAGCCCTGGAATACACACAATAGCTACAAGGAAGCTATATAAAGCTTATTCACAGAGAATTCAGTAAGCAGTTTAGCATCTCCTGCTGCTGTGTACTTTCCTTGACCTATTTTTGCAACTAAACAGTAATATGAGCATTACTACTTTCCGGCTGTGAAGGGTAAGGGTGCTGATAAAATTAAAGGCACGTGAGACTTGTGTACTTGTATCACAGTATGAGAGGCGCAGTGGGTGTGCCCGCTCAGGTCTTCGCGATTCAAAGCTCTGCAACTGTTATGTAGGCATGTCGATTACCACCAGGTGCACGACGTGTTCGTCTAATCGCTTCATATCTATGGATAGATTAAAATAATTTTTAACTTTAGTTAATTTAAGTTTAAAAATATAGAATTTATATAGAAAAGTCTAAAAACCGCAAGGTAAGTAAGTACAAAGGCAAGTGTATAGTTTGGTATCACAACAATGGCGTCATCAAATATCATCGCGACTCTTGAACGCTAAACAATTGATTTCTCAAATGTCTCTATTTGCATTAGAATGGACAAAGGGTTTGTCAGTTTTATATCTTAGGGTGGTGGGAGCAGTGGCAGTGTCCCTCAGATTTTTATAAGCGATTTGAAAGTCTGAGTGGCAAGTGCTCATGATATGCGTATCGCTTACCACCACATATACGACTTATTCGTCCCAATACTTGACCATAAAAAGAAAAAAATATTTTAGGAAATTCACTTACGAAATTCGGAGCCTACAACTAATTGCAACTAAATCACTGAGAGTTCATATAATGTGTAATTGTATATTTAATAAAATGTTTACACTAAAATGGCTTACAGTAAACAAATCGTTGGAAGTTACGTTAAGGCAAACGGGTAATGTTTGGGATTGGTTCACCACATCCTTGAAACTATTAGACTTGGGAGTAAGCATTTGCTTTTGCTGATTTTGATGCTGACGGACGGTTTTGTTGTTTCTTGTAAGCTCGCATTTACGCGCAATTTAAAGGCTTCCTTTGTTGGTTGCGAAAAGAAACAAATATTCTTTTTTATTTTACCAAGTGACAGGATGAACAAGTTATGCGGTTAATAGTAAGCGACAAGCCTGCGGTTAGCAGTACCACTCAGATCTTTAAATCAGATCTAAGGAGCACTGTTACTGCGTCCGTCACCCTGAGTATAAGTTGACAAGTCTTATGTGCCTGGTATATCACCAGCACCATTACCCTTTCAAACCGGAATGCTGTAATGCTCACATCGCTGCTTGACAGTAGAAATAAGTAAGGTGGCAGTACTTCCCTGAACAAACTCTTTCACATGGAGCTCTACTGCTACTGTATATTTTTTCAGTACTGTGTATTTTGAACATTGATTCTCATGTCAATATATGATAATTACAGCTTCTACATGTCAAGTAAAACCCCTTACCTGGATGCTACTTAGTCATCACGATGTCATATTTTTTTAGATCCCAAAGCTCAATTTACATTGCAGTGGAACAAAATAGGAGCGGATTTTTATGACGAAATGTAGTTTGTGCATTACATAAGTGGTATAATGAAATTTATGTCATTTGTGTAACGTTCAAACTAAATACGATCCAGGAGTTCTCGAGACTGCGCGAGAATCCCCCGGAAGAAACGCGTAGCTTGCATCTATTTTGTATGTTACCAATAGGTACAAAATTGACTATGGTTACTTTAATAACCAAACCTAATTATTCCTTCTGCACTCCTTTGGTAACTACCGTTGAGTCGATGTTATGAAACCTATACTTCGTTGTAATTTTTTTCTGCTTTTGTTTTAGAGTAGACATATTATTGTTAACGGTCTACTAATGGCACTTATAGGTAAGGAAATACGCATGCTTACTTGGCAGTATAAATGATGAATGGTATAATATGAATGTTTAGTCCATAAAGACAATTTTGACTCTATAGTGGTATCCTTTGGGGTTAATGGATATCGATTTACCATCATCCGCGCCGGATGGCCGCTGACCCGCGGGCAGCTCCCATTGCTATCTAGATTAGTGGCAGCTTTTTATTTTACCACAACGGCACACAGCTTTTAGAGAAATCTAATTATGAACATTTACACGAATTTAAGGTAAGTCTTAACTTAGGCTCACAAAGTATCTCGGGCTAGTTTGCATATCTTTGAAATAGTCTTTAAGTTACTCTGAATCTATAATTAGTCTTTACATTAATTTATTTACTCGGAAGCAATTTTGTGAAACTAAATAAAATTCTAATTATAATTGACAAAACTGATTAGTGTTTGTTATCAAAGATTTAAAACTCACTAGGCGCACTATGCGTTATTTGTAAATAGGGTTAGGTGATTTTATAACAAAATTACATTTAACGTTTTATCTTTTGCGTTTGAACTGTATTCTGCAACATCTGCAATTTAAACGTGATATTTGTCTAAAAAAGTGAGACGTTTTAATGAATTTTAACACCTGAAGTTGCGTAGAAATATACGATGTTTCTCCAAGAACTTATTTGTTTTGCACTCGAATACCTCTTCATGGTACTTTACTCGGATACCTTCTAAGTATTTTACAATGTTTAGAGATCTAAAGGCAAGATTTATTGTCGGAGGGAATGTTTCTAGGAACTGTAAATAACGTAAAGTGAATTGTTCATAGTTTACTTCATTCGTAGTATCATGTAGGTTTATCATGTATCATCCAGGTAGGTTTTGGTCTGTGTTATTTTTCTTTTTATTTGAACCTAGTGGGAAATGATCAAGCATTAAATTGTTTTATCGCAAGGTAAATTTTCCTTGTAGAGTGAAAGAGTTCGTCCAGGGTAGTAGTGCTACATACTAAACATAATCAGCTAGTTGAACAGTTTGGTATGGGCTCCTTAGGGAAACGTATCCAGTATCATTAACTGCCTCTGTTTTAACTGCCTCCGTGGCCGAACGGTTACCATGCCGGACTGCCACGCAGAGGTCCCAGGTTCGATTCCCGGGCCGGGAGAAATATTTGTATGGCCTACATTTATTTCTCTCGTGAGTTTGGGTGTAATTTGTGGTTGTCTATGTGTGTTTCCATGGCACCCGCGACACAGGGTTTCCCTAGTGCGGGGCTATGTTGAGTGTTAGCGTTATTATTATTATTATTATTATTTATTATTATCATTGCTAGTTATGACATTTCAGATCTAATTTTTTAACAACTTCTTTAGACCATTCCAGATTCTGACAAAAACGAGGCTCTTTTTCTATTCAGCTTGACTCAGTGCAATAGACTTGCTAAGTAAATTTCACAGTAAATTTTACAGTATTAATTCTATCAGAAGATAATAAACTAAAAGGAAAATTCTCAAAAGAATAAAGGTAATCTATATATCACGTTCTACTAGTATAGCTAACGTGGCTTTCGTTCCGGATGACGCGACAGGTGCATATTACGCTTTCGTGGTGTTCAATCGTTCGAATGAAATGCCGCTGGCCGGTTTGCAAAATAAACCTAGTGCCATGTGTTTAATTAAGAACGGGAAAACGATATCTCTTTTTCTCTTAGGGCTTGCATTGTAGGTACTAGATGAGGACGTCCCGAGTTCCAATCGCGGTAGGACCGATTTTGAAAATGAACTTTTGTGATTCGTTTTTGATCTGGATATTCTTAGATTAAAGATTAGAGGGAATTCACCAGTTTAAGACCAAATAATTGGCGTAGACGTTTGGCAGGTTATTATTATAAATTCTGCTACCAATAATGACCGTTTTAGAAAATGTATATTGTTCCCAAATTACCTAAAAACTTCCTCCGCGACCGAACGGTTACCATGCCGGACTGCCAGAGCTCCCAGGTTCGATTCCCGGGCTGGGAGAAATATTTGTATGCCCTACATTTATTTTTGTTGCCGTTGCCGTTGTTGTTGTTGTTGATACTGACAGGCAATTGACGAGAATTGACGCTTTTGAAATGTGATGTTGGCACCGCCAATTAAGGATTCTCTGGACTGCGCATCGTACGAACGTATCCGTGCTTGAGGAATTGCAGTAGCAAAACCACATACGCTCATCTTCCGTCTGTTTGCTCCGCATTCCGCAGTTCTTTGGTCACATTGCACGCAGAAGCGCTGATAGTCTCGAGAGCGTGATTGTTACGGGCAGGAATGAAGGCAAACGACATACAGGTCGATGTTCGAAACGATGGTGTGACTAGGTGTCTGAAAGTTTGGCAGTGAGCGTCGCATTCCACCTGGCCAAAGATAGAGTGCAGTGGAGAGGATTGATTTACGGTATACTTGCTCAAAGTCACGATCCTCAGCAGTGAGGGACCGACGGAGGAGGAAAGACTTGTTAACTTATGTCTCAGAGTGACGGGCGCAGTGACAATACCCCGCAAATCTTTGCAATATAAACTTCTTAGTGGCAATGCAACTGCTATGCATATATGTATGTGTGATGAATAAAGTCCTATTATTTATTTATTTATGTTGGAAGTCAAAAGATTGATATTTTTAATCGACTTAAAAAAAAGAAGGAGGTTCTGAATTGGGCTGTATGTTTTTTGTATGGATGTTACGCGATAACTCCGGTATTTGTGAACCGATTTTCATGATTCTTTGTTTGTTGGAAAGAGGGTACCTCGATAGTGGTCCCATTTAATTTTCAAGAAAATCATCCACTTCTAAGGGTGGCTGTGCACGCATGAAGTTTCATTTTTATAAATAGCGCCTAAATTTTATTACAAGGAGCAATTATTTTAATGGTTGATTTTGCTATTCTCCAATTCAAGGCGTCTTTCTCTCTCGATATACTTTGAGTAGTGAGAACCGATTTTTATTATGTCCTGTGTCAAGTCCCGTATAGTGGCGAACTAGGGCATGAATTCGGGTTTGCGCACTTTCCGGTAAACGATTTCAATAAAACTTGGTAATTATATGTACTTCCACGTACTTTTGAGGTCAGTTTTTTTAATACTCTATACTGAGGTTAGGTTATTGTATATATGTTACCCGATAATTTTGTGAACTGATTTTGATGATTCTTTTTTTGTTGGAAAGAGGATACCTCATTTACATGTAAAGAAAATAATCCACCTCTAATGGCAAACTATTGGATGAATCCGGTTTCGCGCTCTTTGTGATAACCGATTCCAATATAACTTGGAAAATAGATAATTCCAATTTTGAGATTGTTTTTTTTAGTACTCCGTACTGATATTGTCAGCAGCAGGTATGTATGAGGTAGATGAACAACCTTATTACGTGTACACCATGCTTCAATATACATAAAGTAATTTTCGAAAGAGTGTGTTTTATGTACCTTACCATACTTGAGCCCAAACGGCTTCCAGCCGCACACGGTCAGTTATTTCTTAAGCGCTGTGCAAACAGATCCCCTCTTACCTCGGATCCCTCTTATCTACACATCTCTACAAATTTGGTCCAAATGTCGGTGGCATTTATTACATAGGAAAAATTCTAAGTTATAACAAAAATATTAATACGAAGATCGAATACAAAATCAAATCATTCCAATCTGCCGACTCGAACCAGCGCCTTCACAATACCGTGGCTGACGTTCTCCTAAATGAGCTACGGTAGGAACCAGTACACCTTACAAATTTTTGTATGTTCTTGTTGCAGGGCTCTGTTATTGGTTTTTAACGAATTTATTGACTGAATGCAAATAAGTAAATAAAAGCTTTCGTAAAATTGTCTGTACTTTTAAAAAGCGAATTCCAAATATATTTGGAAACAAAACTGACAACTGTCCATTGTACCTTGTGTTACGTCACTCATACGTTCACTCACGCAAAAATGCTTGTTACACATTCTATTTTTCGCAGACATCATCATGTCAAATTCGTACATTGTCCCAAAACATACGTTTTGTAGTCAGTCGTACGATCACTTATTTGACAGTGCTAGTAACAATTTGAAGACAATAAAAAATAACAATGTCATCACAGTCATCAACCCATTGATACGTCCCAATGCTGGTCACGGGTCTCCTCAGGCGAGAGTTTAGGCCATAGTCCACCACGCTGACCCAATGCGGGGACTTCACACGTTTTCCGGAGGTTGTGAAGCTTCTTCGAAGTGCAAGTTTCGTCACATCAAATTAAATTTCGCACTTAAATTCCAAGAAACTCAGAGGTACAAGCCAAGGCAATGAATATTATACTATTTTTTTAATTTGTGGCAGCCAGTAGAAGCTTATTCCAGTATATTTTTGCTCTGTGTTGTCATTTTAATGCAAATAAGAACAATTCATTCGTACAGTTTTTTTACCGAGTATTATTATTATATTTTAGAAAAAACATAGCCCATTGTCCCAAAACACACGTTAATTGCTAATATGGTGATTAAAACATGAAATAAAAAATAAATGTCACTAAAAAAGTGAAATATTACATACACTATCCGAAAAAGGTAGCTATCCCGTATATGGCGCTTCTCCTGTAGTAATAATATTATTTCTTTACTTAATTAAATATTATAATTTTTAGGTGGTTGGTAGTAGCTTTTTGTGATTATTTGTTTTTAAATGCGCACTTGCGCATTTTACCTCTATCTCATTTAATGTAAAGTAACGATGTAGCATTCTCTATAGTCATGATAAGTAAACCGGATTCATTCCCTAATTTTCCACACTTAGAGGTAGAATATTTTCTTTAAATTTGAATGGAACCAATACTGAAGGACCCCCTTTCTAACGAAAAAAGAATTATCTAAATTGATTCGCAAATGTCCGAGTAATCGCATAACATACACAAAACAAAAAAAAGGTACTCGAAATGAGAGCCTCGTCATGTTTTCGAATTCTCTTCATTGTCCCAAAATTCACGTTGACCGCTGATGTGGCTAACCCACTTGAAAATTGTTGTAACACGTTGCAGTTCTCGCGGTCCATCGATCGCTCTGATGGGTCAGGGGCGTCAGGTGTGCAAGCAAAACCTATTGTGCTGAGCTGATGCGATTCCCAGCTCCATTGCACTTCAATTTTGAACACAATCCGCGCAAAACGCTCTTTACGTGTTTAATTTCTTTTCGAATGTCTCTACGAAAACTGATTTCAATTTGTCTCTATATTCGGCAAAGCTTTTGTTTGTTAACAGTATTTGAGCATTTGGATTCGTTAGCAATATAATGCAGAACTGGAAACCAGAAACAGTCATAACGAAACTTTAAAAGAACATTGCATTAGTAACTTCTCAATTCACACTTTTAAATTTGCTCTTAAAAAATACTCTACAGAAGTCTGATACAAATGCCAAAATTCGCAGTATCTTACGTATAGTTATCTTAATCTTCTTTACCCTTCCTACCTGCAAATATTTTTCCTTAAATAACTACATAAAATACTTAATGTACTATATGTATAAACACATACAGTCCCCCCACCACCCTCACTTATTACATACTACATACACACACTCAAATACACCTTTTTCTTTTCCTTCTGATTACCACTTCCACCTGTTATAGCTTTCGTAATTGCCTATATAAATATACAGTTAGTGTTATAATTATATACTTACATTTTGACACCGTATTGATTCTCTATTATGAATTGCTTCTTTTTTTCCGGCTCACCTTAGGACTTGGCAAAATCTTCAGCGTCGTAGATCTACTAAACTGTGGCATAATGCCCTTTTTCTGACGCAGTTGCTTAACTCTGCACTTCTATACCTACCATATCCACAAACCTAGAATATCCTTTTTTTATTTTATTTCTTCCAGTGTGCCTACGGCATAACTACAGGCACATGGAACTTGTCAACATGTTTGAGGGTTACAGGCGCAGTGGCAGTACCCCTCAGAGCTTTGCGATTTAAAACCCTCATGGCACTGCAACCGCTATGGACAGGCGTGTCGTTATCCGCCAAAGGCACGACGTTAAGCTTGTTTGTAATGTGCTATGAATCAGCAAATAATTGACTTGTATCTATCTACCTACACAATTACTATGTAAAAGTTTCTACTTGAAATTTTGCAGACTTGTCGTCTTTCGCAATTCACTAGATGGCGAACAAGCAGACAGCAGACGATTTGCTTTATATCTTTAAACGAGTAGTTTCAACTGTGACATTTACACTGAACTTGAAACAGACTTAACCTTAATAACAATCGATAGGTTTACATGTCGGGGAAAGAAATCATTAGAGAGTAGTAATTCAAATGTCCATTAACCTTGACAATCAGACCGCCCCAATTTGCGTTATTCAACGCTATTGTAATACGTCTAAGTGAATTAATAATATCGTATTCAGAGATACCACGCTCCACCTGTTACGGGAAAATGGAGAAGTAATAGTACCGATCCCTAACGTTCGTAGTCTCTTACGTAAATTGGATCTGTGAATAGATATCACTGATTGAATTAGCCGCTTCATCGGCGCGCTCCGTTTTGGTTGGGTACTATGTTTCTCGAGAAATGGCAAAGGAAATTGCAAGGGGTGTTTCGAATATTTTTTGATTTCTGCATACCCTTTTGCTTGAATTCAGAAAATAGATTCAAGAAGAAGTTTTCAACGAAAGCAGATTGCCGTGTGGAATAGGTTGTTAAAATGGTAATGAAGAAGTTATTTATTGACGACATATAAAATTATAGGCCTACGTACATCATTAAATTGTTATTTGTTACAAAGATTTAGAGTTTACTTTCCTGTAAATTTTGTTTCGTCAACTATTTCGTAGGCGTGACGAAAATTCTATTATAACTTCGTTAATATCCAGACCCTTGTAAAGTTTGTTGAAATACTTACTTGAGTGAAGACATTTTCTATACATGTAAACTTTGGTATTTAACCTCTTAATAACTACTATTATTTCGTAGAACTATAATTACAAAGTTTCTGATTCTTGAAATAATTTTCTTTAATAACAAAATAAACAATTACAAACTAGAATCAAAGACATTTTTAGTTATTTATATAAAAGACATTTTATTTACTTTATATTGAGTAAATAAACTATTTTGAATGTGTGCGTTATTCGTTTTACAGCTCTATAGTATAAGTTTACATAGAAATCAAAACAAAAAACGTTGTACTAAATTTAAAAATTGTAAATTTTAAATCTAATAATGACTGGGCATGGAAATTAATATTCGCATTCGGAAATCCGATGATTGCCGAGGGACATACAGAAAATAGTAGCACATATTGGACTTTGAACCGTTCCTAATACAAATGGCACAAAGTTTAATAACAAAATAAACAACTACAAAGTAGAATCAAAGACTCTT